TGCAGAAAACAGCTCACTACCAACTTATCCAGGTCTAGTCAACACACCCACAAACTAATAATTACATCATCTGCTGTAACAAACTTGGCACAATGGAAATTCTGCTGTCTTCACACCTCATGACATTTTAAATGAATCCAGAATGAGATAGAGAGCTCAATCCAACCCTACATCACAGGTTTATCTCATGTATGCACATTCATAGGACAGTCTCAAAAAAAAAACTGTTTAAGTGCCTTCCTTCTAAATATTAAGAACTGCAGAAGAGAGAGACATGACTTTTTTGGATTTGCACTCATCAGGACAGATTCACAAGAATGTCAGATCTCAAAAAAAGGGAACAAAGATTTATACACTTCATGGAAAAAAGGTGTTGGTTGATTGGTTGGTAGAGATGCTATCACCACAAATGCACCAGGCAATGGCTATCCTTCAAGTTTCTATTTAGTTGAAAAAGGCACAATATATGGACATGTTTTCAATTTGCAAAAGACAGGCTCAGCAAACAAGTCGCATGTCTAGGAATGCTTCTTTGCCAACAAAACAAAAGCATTTTTTTTTTGGTGGGGTGGAGACAAAAAAGAAAAACAGCCATTCCCTAGTGTCTTTTCCATGACAGTGACTTTACTGATCAGAGTCTACTTGCCAACCAACCAGCACCCTCTCCTTATGCAATATAAATCGTTGGTCCTTGTGAGATTTTACATTTTTGTAGTTTTGTTTCCCATGAGTGTAAAACATTAGTTCAGTGTCTTTCTTTTCTCCCAGCAAGACTCTAGTTTGATACTACCAAGCAATTATTTAAATAGTTCAAGTATCCTGGCTGCATGTGTTGCGCACCAGCATCAACAGTATCAGGACATTTCCTTCCTATTATATACACATGAAAATTGACTCAGAACTGCACAGGATGCTGCATATGAGAAGAGTTTGATCTATGCTCAAACGCAGGCTTGTTTGAAATACTATCCATTTAACATAAAATCTTACAACTAGTTGCACCATATGGTGCAAGGCACACAGATATTTCTGGACATTGCAGACCAGTTGCTCATTAGACAGATCATGTAACTAAAAGAATTCCTCACCCCAGTGAGGCCTCAAGGGGTATACTTTTCCTTTTACCTTGAGGTATAACATCCCCTCCAAAGTCGGTTACGGTGGCCACAGTTCCTTGCTGATTTCCACCGATCCAGGTAGGCTAAGTTTCCAACAATTTAGAGACACATTTCTACCCACTTCTCTAACCATAGCTTTTTTTTGGCATATCGGTTGCAGTTTAGCTGATACAACCAAAGCTTACACCTGGCAACTCTATACACCGCTAGGCCACATACAGCAGTGGGCTGCAACAATTGGGGGCCAAACAATTCCACAGTTTAAGAGCTGAAAAGCATAGGGAAAGACCAACTTGTCTTCCTGCTTTCCCCAAAAACTTTGTACTGCATAATGTGGTAACAATGCAGGGTGCAATTTATAGGTTGCAATGTGTTGTCGTACTAAAGGAATTTGTTTGGCTTGGACAGCGTAAACCCTGACTTCTTTATTTTAAAATAAAGGAGGATTAGAAATCACACACGGACTGTAGCAATTCAAGGCAGCAGCTCACAACCACCTTTTGAATGGCAAAAAAAGGACTGGCCCAAAGAGAAGCATGCACATCCCATGAAAGTAACTATAAATAGAAATCATATCAGATTTCATGACACAAAAGTTGATACTGGTCTGCAATAGCAGGTAGACAGAAAGAAGATACAGATGACAGGGGTCCTGAGATCACAGTTGAATGCCAAGAGATGCAACAGCAGAGGGATAGTCCTCACTGGATCAAAAGGCCTTGCCTCCTTTTGATAACAGACACATCCCAAATCCTTATCCAAAATAAGCTGAGCACTCACCACCTCCTTGCATCATTTTGTAAAACTTGCTCTCAATGTGGAGTTGGGGGTGTTTTGTTTTGACACATTCCAGCTTTATTGCAACCTCTTCCCCAGTAGCGATGTTTGCACCTGAAAGAGAACGAGAGATACTTCATTCACCAATGGGAACTGTCAAAGGAAGAAGTATTGCTTCTGTCTTTTGCTCCTTTACCAACTTAAGCATTTCCCACAAATAAAAGGTATGGGTCAGAAATATTAGGTAGCACCTAATGTGACAGGATTACTTTTGAATACAAAATGATTATAATAAAGCCATCCGGCTTGCTGGCATTACTTGGATTTAAGTGGTCTTGTGCGGCACTGACCATCATAAACCTGAATCCCAGGTTTCATCCAATGTCTATGCTGTGTTAGTCAGGTTGATGTGAATGTTACTTTTTGGCCCATATTTTTGGGAAAGGAATGGGAGAATCATCTTGTTCCTATACAGGGACGTAAGTGCACATACGTGGTTACCAGGAGTAATGCTCAGCTGAAAAGCCAATTGCCTAATTGACACTATGGAAGTTTTGGCATAGGAAGAGGCCACTTAACCCATCAAATGAGTGCTAGTGACCTGCTGGTTTCACTTAACTCTGGAACCTTATTTAACAAAACCAAATCTTAAATGATTTCTATACACAGGCTGAGACAGATACATTTTCTTATGTGACACTAAAAGCTTACACTATTCACTTCTGCTGCAGTGAAAAAGCCTTTATTATTAACACTACAAGGAAATCTTAAACTTGAAAAATAATCACCTAGGTGACACCAGCACTAGGCATCTCCAGAGACTATCTACTTTTGTAACTACCTTACTAATCAAACAAATACCATTCTAACATGTACAAAAGGGTTCTCTATCCAAAGACAGTGTTGGTGTTTTTTTTGTCCTACAGCATCTACAAAAAGTTACGAATCCAATCCAGCATCTGTCATAATAGGGGTAGCACTTTACCCCACTGTCATTGTCTGCAACAGTCTACACAGTTTTAAGAACCACTCTGTCAAGACAGTTCCTAATCCTTGCCTTAGCATGCAAACCACAGGAAGCTGTGTGGTAACAACCCAAACAGCAGGGATTGACATCTGTTGCTGTGGTGTCCTATCAGGAACAATAGGATTTCTCATTTACTCAGATTACTATTAAGTAGAGGATTGTGTTATCACCACAAGATGCAGATTTAGCAAGTCTCTGCAAGCAAGACAGTTGCCTTTAAGTTTCCAATTAAAAATAAAACATTTTGTTTTAAAAACTCTCCAAGGACTACATGCGCGCACAGGCATGCATGCCAAATTTAGCATTAGTGCAAAACAGATATAAAGGTAGCTGCAGATCTGTCACAAAATGAACCAAAATTTAAAAAGGTGGTATCAGGTGAAGATAGTACACTGGGGAATGCACAAGCCATGAACAGATTATTACAGATAATGGGATGTGTTCTGACTGTTTTAGTAAGATGTGATAGCTGCATAAAAAGAAGGCCTATTCGTTTTCTGGGAACATTGAAGTGGAATAGTTGAAAATTCATCCAGGTTTCACCGAGCAAACGACTCAATATGAAACAACAAGCACCAAGTCCTGATCACCTGTGCTCATTCATCTACATTTGGGATCCCAATCTAGCAAAACTGCTTTTAAATATTCACATGGGAAGAAATTTTAACAGGATGATTAAAACAGGATTCTGGTTCCTCTTTTTACATAAAAGATACTGAGTGACTTTCCATTTTTATAACACCTATCACAACAGAGATGCCAAACTATTTTTGAAGTACAGTAACTTGTTTTGTAAACATGCAGATACACAAACAGGTCAACTCAACCCTTAACTGAATAGCACCATATTATCTTTTGGGTCAATCCAATCAAGCAGATAGAGGCTTAGTTTAACTGAAGAAGCAGCAACTGTTGTTATGTGGTACAATAAGGGAGGGGGTGCTGCAGAGCATCAGCCGAAAGAAAACAGCACATGTCCTAGAAGAACATGAACCTAAACTCACAAATTGTGTGGAAGTTAAATGTTGACGGGGGCTTGTAGAGACAGAAAAGCCACCAATTGAGCTGCACTGACAGTAAGTATGTGAATGAATAAAGAGATTCAAATAGGAAATTTGCATGGTGTCCTTCACAGCTACCTCCCCTGCCACAGAAATATCACTTGTTCAAGATCATAGCCTAACTCTATATTCAGCAGCAATATTTCAGCATGTGAATAGGGATTGATTGGTTTCCCCATTTACAGCCCAGCACAACTTCAATAAATGCTCCAAAAATACACACATTGTATTAAAATTGTCACGGAGCTTGTCAAAATTTTTATCTCCGTGACAACAGAAATAGCAATTCAGACTAGCTGCGTGACTCGCTGATACTTAAAATGCAATTTAAAGTCAGTAGTACTTGAAGGAGCTAAAGCAGGACACATGTTCCCGTGACAGGTGGCCAGTGGCAATCGTGTACGCCACATTTTTACTTATGTAATGTTTCAATATTTAGACTCTCAAAAGTCAGGCAGCTAAGAATTTTAACAGATTTCTACGACTAACCTCAACACCTGTCACTTCTTTCAACATGCTCCTTAAAACCTACCTCCTCCTCTCTCTCTCTCTCTCTCCCCTCCCCACCAATCCCAATTTTGGTCAACTGTTTCAACATGAAATTCTGCTTCAGAACACTCCCCAAAAGCACCTTCAAACATTTTACCATTTTAAAGAGAAATTTTGTTTATAAACACCAAAATCAGGTAGATAGGGAGCACCTATTAAAAGCTTCAGTTTTTAAAGTAAGAGTTCTTCACCATAACCTCCTTCTACTTCTCCCAAATATTTGAAATTCTCAGCTCATTCAAGACTTTTTGAACAGAGGGAAATCGTGTGGCAAGAGGATGAGATGAAAAAAAATTGGAGTGGTTTTGATCGATTGTCTTTGAATGAAGTAGCATGCTCAGAATACACATGGCCTAATTCTTATGACCTTAAGGCAATACGAAGCCCATTGTTTGTGGTTCTTGGAAAATGGACAGAATTCCAGGATCCTCCAAACATAAGAAAGAGTCCAGGATTCTATATAACGACTGCATCAGTTACCATAAACAGATGACTTGCATCAGAGAAAACAATAGTCCACTTGTACAACATAGGAGCAAGGGCACTGGTTTCATAATTTGTTCAAGAAAAGAAAAAAGAGAATTTGAATAAGTTCCAACATGATGAAAAACCTCAAAAATTACTTAGTCACCTATGGCTTTGCTGATGACTCGGAACAGAACAGCCTAACATTTTACTTGTGGACTGAATAAACTCAAAATCTTTAACAGACAGGATTTGTGTCATCTATCTTCGTCCAACAAGTGCACATTTGGGCTATGCGCAGGCATGATGAACTGGACCAAGAAGTGGGAAACACCAGCAATTTCTCTCCCTTCTAGTCTGGCAATATTAAAATATATTTCTGACAACACTATCCAACTAAAAGAAAGGTCAATCTAGCTGCCATTTTGGTCTTATGGCACATTGGGCAAAGCCCAGTATTGGTTTCGACATGAGCAAAAGCCTCAAGTAAGCAAAAACTGATTCAGCAGAAAAACAAAAACGAGTTCTCAATCATAAATACACCTCTGAACGACAAAGTCAAAACAATAAATCTGTTGATGTCTCTAGCAACATTTCTCCCCCTGAATTGACTGAGGGTCTTTCATCTACAAAATGCTACTAAATGCTGGCTACATATATTAAACAAGCAAAGCTCTAGTAGGTACATGATTATTACCAGTGGGATAAATGCAACCTGGGAGACATTCATGGCACTGAGGAAGAACTCAAAGCAACATTAAGACACAAGACACCCGTTGAGCTTTTAGCAAACATGTTCAGACACTATGATCCAAAAAAGGAGGATCTGAAGACTGACTTTAACCTTGCATGGAAAGATCAAGACATGGCGGGGGGGGGGGGGGGGAATAAAAAAAGCAAAAAAGCAGCATTTCATAAAGAGATTTTCGTTCTAATTGGGATCATGTTTTGCAAGGGTGAGGTTGGGTTGGAGAATATAAAGATATAATTTAGGTTCAACGGGGGAAGTCTTAAACTCCAGTGGGAGCACTAGATACATTAACAGACGTTTTAAAAACCTGTGCAAAGAAATGAGATATGGGAAATGATTGTCTAGCTTTATAGTTTTAATTAAAAAAAAAACCAAACAACGGGGAAAACTCCATCTGTTTTCAGTACATGACCTCCAAAAACCAAAAATGGAACTGATGAACCCATGCAATCCAAACTGCAAACCCAAAACATTCAAAGAATATAATTCAAATTTGTTTTTATAATTCTTTTTTAAAAAGTTTAAAAAAGCTATGCAACAAGTACTTTAACTCTGGAAGTAAATCTTTTGTTTTCTTTCATCACTGGAATGAAGGGTTATGTTTTATGAAACCAATCAAACCAAGCATGACAGTGTTGTGGTGGGAAGTGGTTAAGGATCACTACAGTATGTTCTCCCTAACCCTCTAGCCACAAATTGAAGATGACCACTACATGCTGCCAGCTTCCAAGTTAAATGCAATCTCAGAAAAGCCAATTTGATGAAACAATGCAATGATGCATAACAGTACGTCAGATGCTACAAGCATCACTGTATTAAAAAAAATCACTGTGAAACACTTAGATCGTGTTACATAAGAAAACCATCAGAATGAAAAGCTGCTGGTTTAGTGTTCTTAAATCTTCACAAAGCAGGGAAGAGGGGACAAAGGTGGTGAGGAGAAAGCAGAAAATCTTTTCACCCATTGCCCAGGTCATTCATATAGTTCAGGTCAGCTTTAGCAGAGGTCAGTAACCACAGCTAATATCCTGCTTTCAAAAATCAAGAAATGGTGCACTGCAATGTAAAATATAAACCATTCAACTGCCTTCCCCACATAAATAAAAAACATACAAGGAAGTGTTGTGTAGTATCAAATACAGGGTTGCTCAGTAACAAACAAACAGAAGACCTACACCCTCAGTTAATAATGTTTAAAATCCTGACTATTACAGATGGAAATTAGAGACTGGTGGCACAGTTTGGTTTCCAAGTTGCTTTT